ATGCTCGAAGTTGTTGACGAATACGTTTACCTGGGACAAATAGTCCGACTAGGTAAGTCCAACTTCGACCGAGAGGTCAATCGACGGATTCAACTCGGCTGGGCAGCGTTCGGGAAATTACGGCATATCTTTTCGTCAGGTATACCTCAATCTCTAAAAACTAGATTGTACAACCAGTGCGTGTTGCCAGTGATGACTTACGGATCTGAGACGTGGTCCTTCACTGCTGGCCGTATGAGGACGCTTAAGGTCGCTCAGCGAGCTATGGAGAGGGCTATGCTCGGAGTTTCTCTGCGTGATAGACTCAGAAATGAGGATATCCGCAGTAAAACCAGAGTGACCGACATAGCCCAACGGATTAGTAAGCTGAAGTGGCAATGGGCCGGCCATATAGCTCGAAGAACCGATAACCGATGGGGAAGAAAGGTTCTCGAGTGGCAGCCTCGTACCGGTAGGCGTAGTGTAGGGCGACCCCCCACTAGATGGAGTGACGACCTGGTAAGACATGCAGGAAGTCGATGGATGCAGGTGGCTCAGGACCGTGCTTTGTGGCATTACTTGGGGGAGGCCTATGTTCAGCAGTGGACTTGTGAAGGGCTGTAATGATGATGATGATGAACACATCTGGGAATGCTAAGGAATTATTGGCCTCTAGTATAATATCTAATCACTGAATGGAATTTGACGACTGGACGACAACGGCGTAGCTGACCTTCCTTTTTGAAACATTCTTAGAATGTTGTGTATCGATTTCAAAATCGATCTAACCGAAATATACAGATATCGATTCATAATATTTTATGTGTCGGGGAAGGCGTAGGCCAAGTGACGCACAGAAGAAAAGTCTTACACTCTTATGAAAATGGGGATTTGATATGATGCTGATTCTGCTAGATGATTTTGAGACTGAGAAAGAAAATGGCACAACACAAAATGAAAAATTGCTCTTCACACCCTAAGTAAAAAAAAACATTAATTGTAATTTTGTATTATTATTAAAGAAGGTACATAATTATTCATTAATCAACAATTGTATATAATTATTCGCACTAGGTAAATCAGCCGTATAATGCTAAAATCTTGGTCATGGAATAAATAAACATATTTGTTCACCAATCAATCAAAAATTCAATTCATCAATCAAAAATCAAAATTCATCATCATCGACGCTTTCCAAAATCCGAATGAGTTCTGAGGAATCGTTCATGTTGCATTGCTCTACTTTTCTCGGTAATCACTTATGACGTCATCAGGGTGTCGTCTATCCTTGATCACGGTGCCCAGTGAACTGATTTTCGATGACGCGCTAAAGATGCGCTAGAGTTGAGATATTAGATTTATTATGCGAAGATAATCTGATAACATTTTTTATTCGTGTAGCTAATTATAGTTTTATGTTTCTAACCTTTAATTTTATTCAAATATCAATAATAATAGAAAAAAAACACCATTGAGCTGAATTTTGGATAGTTTTCAAGAAATCTATGCCTCCCGCGTTTGACACTAGCGGTCAACCATAGACGACTTTGGCGTGCTGGACATAGTATTTGCTTAGATAAAAATCCATTTTTATTAGTTCAATGTTTCTTAGTACTTGTGGCTCTAGAAGACTTGTTTTTTATACTCACATGTTGCTGGGTTATTCCTATTTTGAGGAGTGTAGAATTAAAATACCTGTAATAATTTTCCAATATCTATATTTCATATTTTTCGGAGCCGGGTTTTTTGTCAACTATAGACGTCGTTGGCGCTCAGGGCCCGCAGGTGTTGGTCAAGTATAGGCGACTTTGGCGCTCAAAAGGTTAAAGGATTCATGGTAAATCAGCTGGAAACTAACTTGTTTCGTTACCATAACATGATTATATTTTAAATGTATTGTTATAAACAGATAAGAATAACTTAACCGATCTTCTTTAAAAACAGATAAGAATAACAGTTCTTATCTGTTTTCAAAGAAGATCGGTTAATATTAACAGTTAAATTGTGCCGTAGCATTTGTTACTCTCTAAAGAATTCATTGGAAATCAGCTAGTAATTAGCTTGTTTAATTATCGTAACATCATAATTATTTAAAAATTATATTAGCACTGTAATGATGACACCGTAAATAATCGATCGAAAAAGAGAATCGATTTTTTTAAATGTGTTTTGTGATTGGCAACACTTTTTTTTATTCACAAACTAATGACATAATGATTTACCTAATTTTTATTATTATGTTTCCGGTACTTTTAATTTGTGCAAAAATATTCCCATTGTTTGAGGATAAATGAATACCGCGATTCATAACCATAAATAAAGATATAGTTTTTAAACAAATTCACATTGTTGGGCGTTCCATGGCCAAGAATGGCCGTCCCCCTTTTGTGCGCTCCCGCGCTAACAAGCTAGTGTCTAATTTTTATTATTATTATTCTTTATTTCAGAAATTTCTTTCATAGAGTGGGTTAGTAATAAGATAGTTTAAAAGGTTACATACTATATTACTACACACTATCTACTTTATATTTACCAGAGCAGGTCTCGAGCCGATACGGACGCTGTTTCAGTGCCTCAAGATAGGACAGCAATAGCGAATCCCTATCACCGCCAGGAGGCTGTTGGAGCTATCTCGGACACGGCACCATGCGGAGGCAACCCGTTTGCGCATGATAGCTGGGAAACTGTCTATGAGAGCCTCAGCAAACATTGGCGACGCGTTGCAATACCGAGGCAGCCCCATCAGCATCCTGAAGCCGTTATTATATTGAACGAGCAGGGTTGTGAGCGTCCTCCGTGTATACTCAACCCTTAGATTACAGGTGTAAAAGGACTGACAATAGGCTCTGAATAGAGTTTTTTTAACTTCTATATTACACCCTGCAAATCTACGGGCGAGCATATTCGCTCTCATAGCTAGAGCCCTGCATTCCCTCTCTATGTCAATATCATCCGACATATTTTCAGTAACCCAGTGTCCCAGGTATTTGAAATTTGTCACTATTTTCAGTGGTATACCTTCAAGAGCGACAGTGGGAAAATTGTAGCTCTCATATTTTGATTTAAAAAATACGATCTCACTTTTCTTGACATTATATCGTAGGCCATGAGCCGTTGCATACTTCTCACAGATACTGAGTAGTTTTCTTAGACCACTAATTGATGGGCTCAGCAGCACCATATCGTCGGCGTAACTTATGTTGTTATATGCAATATTATCAATAGAGCAACCTACTCCACTACCACCGAGTTCGCCAATCAGATTGTTCACGTAGAGGTTAAAAAGTGCAAGAGAAGATAGGCCGCCCTGTCTTACTCCGCACTCCAGCCCATACGCCTCAGATTGCACCCCTGCCCACCTCACCTGATTCTGTTGATTGTCGTACCAATACTGAAACAGACCTATTAAGTCATTAGGAAAGTCATTAGTTTCAGTAGCTAGCTTCGTCCAAATTATATCGTATTTAACCGTATCAAAGGCCTTTGATAGGTCCAAAAAAACAGACTATAACAGGTGTCCTATGATTTGTGTAGTAACGTACGGTGTGCTTGACAAGAAGTGCAGCACTTTCTGTGGACAACTGCAGTCTAAAACCAAATTGTGCATCACACAGATTAAGGGATACCTGTAACTTCCTCTCAAGCAGACCGTCCTGCACTTTCGCTATAGTAATAGCCAGGGAGATATGTCTACAATTGTTTTTGTCCGACGAATCTCCTGTTTTATTTTTCAGTACTGGCACAATAATCGTTTTCATAAGATCGGAAGGTAAGTGCGAGTGTCCTATGCAAAAAGTAAATAATGTGGTCAGGACACGTGGAAGATGGATACCAGCATATTGCAGGTGTTCCTAACCTAAAATTTCAATTTTAGGTTTTCCATATAATACCCACATATGAAGGCAAATTCGAACCTCACTGTGAAATGGTTTAACATATTTATTCCAACACAAAACATATTTATTTCTACATTTCCTATACTCATGAGTCGCTATTGCTGCCCCTCTCAAAGTACATAAATGCAGTCTTTTTTATTATTATGTAATAGAGTGTGATTAGCACAAGACATAAACACTTGGAATATCTATATATATATATAAGCTTTTCACAACAAAATTCAAAATATTTTTTTAAATTTATTTTTTAGAGTAATTACTTTGAATCCGACAAAATCGAAATAAATCAATAAATTGGTTACTGTAAAAAGCTAGCAAAGCAATATGTTACAAATACCAGAAACAGAAACAGAAACATTTTTATTCAATATGGATTACTAGTAATACTTATTGAAAGTCATTTTTTCATTACCACTGGTACGCAAAAAAAACCTCTGTCTTAAGAAGAACCAGCAAAGAACTCAGCAGAACAATTTTTTTTTAATAGGAGCTTACAATCATGTATGTTACAATTAACAACACATGGCAAATTGGAAATAGCTTGGTAGCGATCACCCATCCCAGGGGTTATTGTTATCTATAAATTCCTTAATATTACAATAACCATTTTTATACAAACTTAGTTTAATAAAGATTTGAACATTGTGTATGTCAAATTTTGTATATTTTCTGGGATTTTGTTGTAAAAGCGTATAGATCGCCCCAGGAAAGAATTATTGACTCGGTGGAGTCGAGTAACTGGTACTACTAGCTTGTGTCTGTTCCTAGCATTTACAGAATGAATATCACTTACTTTTGCAAAACTACTTTTATTTTGGTGTACATTACATTTTCATAAACGTATTGAGAGAATATTGACCATCATCACAATAACTTGTCATCTTGTCCTATTTTACACATAAAACACTTTGAAAAATCTTAAAAGAATTGCCTGTATCCCCTAACGCTGAATCTTTTTGATAGGTAATAACTAAAAGCTCAGTGACAACTACGACCATCTCAATGATAACTTCCCAGGATGATAGCTTTCCCTTGGAGGATTCCGTAAATAAAAAGGACAAAGAAGTTTCCGTAAATATTATAATCAGTGTAAATTAACTGTTTGATTTTTCAATATTTTCACAGGTGTTGGAGGGCTTCACAATCTAGAAATCAATGTCCCGAGTGCTGTCCTCGTAGACGAGACTGTAACTCTGGAATGTAGCTGGCAATTAGAAGATGAAGAAGCTTTATATAGTGTAAAGTGGTACCGAGGGAAAGAAGAGTTTTATAGATATATTCCCAAAGAACTTCCACATACAAGAGTGTTTCCGCTACCGGGAATTGAAGTTGACGTGAGTAAATAATCAATAGACGAGTCTCTATACCCACAGTGTGTCGTTTTCTCGCGGCCCTTTTTATTTACAATCACCATTTTTCATTATCCAATTTTGTACCGTAAATGTTCTTGAAATCTCATCAGCATCACAAAGGTACCGGACCCTTATCAAAAATGAAGGTGGCGTGGTAACGAAGTAGATAATTGAGATATATTTACAATAATTTTAATATTGAACTAGCCTGCCATTTGCCTCAACGTTACCTTAACTAAGTAAGGCTGTACATAAATCTGTTAATTTCATATTGGTGAATTGCTAAATACAATTAGTCTACGAAATTAAACCTAAATAGCAAATCACTGTTATTTACTTTTATTGCGTAACCTCCTTAATAAAGCTATATATGTAATTTTAATGCTCCTAAGTGCCAAGTGTGATAAATTTGTGATCATATGTCTTAAACAACATTAACAAGGTCGTTTGCATTTATAACAGCCATTAATAGGCTTATAATACTAATTGAGATCTCGGTTATGTCTGAGCTTACTGGAACTTACTTAGATATTACTAAGTAGTAATATAGTTTAAGGTATTTACACGATTGATTTTTATTAATTGCTATCTATGCAGATATCTCGCTCTGGTGCGCACCGAGTAGTACTACAGCAGGCGACTCCTGCGATGGCAGGAAGATTCCGATGCGAAGTGTCAGCAGACGCACCGACCTTTCATACTGAAATTCGATCAGCTCCTTTAGAAGTAGTCGGTAATTAAGTCCCTTTAAATAATTCTCATTCTCTATCTGTAAATATTCAATTATTTTCTTAATTGATATTTAATAATAGATTTAAATACATTCACAACAAAAAATAAATCAGTTATCAATACATCTTCTTTTTAATTTTAACTATAGGCCATTACCACCATCAAAGACATTAATTTTAGTTTATTAATATTACGTTGTATGTATATAAATTATATTTTACATTCTAGAGCCTCCAGTATGGGGACCAAAACTTGTTTCGGATCGATCATGGTATGGTGTTGGATCAAATTTACGTGCAACATGTGCGTCGCCACCAGCGTATCCGCCAGTAAATCTTACATTTGCACTTAATGGACAGGAGGTACAAAACAACCGTGTATATTTTTTACAAATATAGCCAACATTAAATAAAAATGAAGTTTAATAAATCTTCTGTATGAATTAAAAATGTTGTCATTTTTTAAAAATTATCTGGTCATTTGGTAATTGAGGAGAGAAGTTCATCTTACACATATACCATAGAATCTTTTAATCTTTCGTACTTAAAATTAATAACGATGTTTTTTCAAACAAATCAAAAATCAAATAAGTTTTTCTTGCATTGTATTAATAAATAAACAAATAAAAATGATTAATAACATTTTAAATTTTCGCAGATTGATACTGAGTCTATAACTCATACATTGCCCCAATGGTTTAAATGGGATCCGCCACCAAAGTTTGAATCGACAACAACAGAGCGACCTGAGGATGAAATAAATTTTAATGTTTTTCACGATGAAGACAATACACAGTACTTGGATGAGACGTACATAAATTTACATAAAGAAGAGATAAGAAGGACTTCAAAAGAAAGTTTAAAGACAGTTTATGAGAGAATTGGGCCTGATAGCAGATTACCAACTGTAGGAGTGGTACTAATTAGCGTACGTACCGAGGCATTTGAACGTGGTAGCCTCCGATTGACATGCATTGCTAATATTTATAATTTGTATGCAGCTCGTACTGAATTGATATTTGATATGGAACAACCTGAAGTTGCTTCTGTTTTGGGGGTTCGTAATGGAATTACAGGTGAGTTTATCTTCCACAGTTAATGAACTGTACGCGTTCTGATATATTCCTATATGAATGTTAAATATAAAAAAATCTACTATCATATAAAATAACTAATTTGAGCATTATTTTCTAAGAAGTGAATTGAGATTATGTTTATTGTCGTATAAATGTTGAAATATTTTTCTAAATAAAGATACAAAAGTTAATTATAACATAAAAAACGTTTCAGGTTCGTGTTTCAATCACAATTGGCAGTTAAGTTTCGTGGTCGTCTTTTGGTGCTGCTTCCGGTAGTTGTTTTATAAATATTAATTAATTGTTAACTATTATGATATGTACACATAGGTGTAAATAAAATACTGACGTTGAATTTGAAACTTCGCAAAACCATAGTGTACAAAACCATTCGACATATCGACATATAGGTAACTAAGTTATCCTTTAAGAATCAATGTAATAAAGTATATCGTTTCAAAATAAAGTATTATAAATATATTGCTTTACTTAGAAATTTTATTGTGTATTTGTGTATTATACAGGTTGTCCGGTAATTATTAAGGTGCTACCATGATCTATTTCAAGGTCATCCATTAATTACTGGACAACCTTTAAAGAATAAATGTTTGCTTACGAGATGATCACATGTACAATTACCTAACCTTATTACAAATAAAACATGATAACAAAGGGTTAAGCAAACTGAATTCGTCACATTTCCGTTATATCGTTAGAAGAAAAATAAACTTGTAAAAGACTGATACTGATTAGTTACACATATTGTTTTAATTATTTGAAATTAAGTACTAGTTTAAAAGTATTTTATTTTAGGTGTAAATAACACGTTTTTCAAAAAGTTGTATAATATAGTACTCTTATGAAACTTCTAAATATTTAAATAATTTAAATGAGTGTAATAGTTATATTATAGATGAATATCAAGATAAATATTAGAGATGTTGACATTTAGATGTTGTTTTTTTGTCTGTTTGTTCTGGATAATCTCCGAAACGGTTGGACTGATATAGACGGGATTTTCACTGCCAGATAGCTGATGTTATAAGGAGTAATTTAGGATACTTTTATTTTAGAAAAAGAATTAGGGTTCCGCTCAATAAAATTAAAACCTATAAAATCCAATCGTAATTAATTCCTCGTGGGCGAATTCGTGGGAAACAGCTAGTACATTCTAGAAGAGGCCTATTTTCCTTCCCTAATAGGCTGAAAAAAGTTTTTTTTAATTGAATATGTGTAACAAACGAGCACACATCTGATGGTAAGTGGACCCCATCCTCAATTAAGAATCAATATGCATATGCGTTGTCATCCCTGACCACTGAGATGGAAAGTCTCGTTTCTAATAAAAAGGGTCTTCGGTTCTCTACTAGCAGTAATGTGTCAAACTATATTTTAATACATTCCGTATCAATCGATGGACTTGTATGAATTGCAAGTCAGTCAGTGCATAATAATGACTACTGAAGCGACAGTAGCCTAATGGCAGGGCGCGGATCGCGAACTCAAAAGGTCGTGGGTTTGAATCCGCCATTTGACTACTGTCGTGAACCACTCCTAACACAAGCATTTTCAAGCTTACCAGTAGTGGTTAAAAGGAATATTAGTAATGTTAGTTAATAAGATTACTAATATTTTTTCTAAAAAAAAATGAACAGTTACTACACATTACTATATTTGATTGCTTTGTTAGTCTAGTGGTTGTAGTAGTGCGACAGTTGACCATGAGGTCTTGGGTTCAAGTACCAGGTCGCGCCAAAAAGTTAATTATTGAGTTTTTCCGTCAAGAAATTCTCAGTAGCTGCCTGGAGTCAGGAAGTTGGCGTTGTCTCATCTTCGTACCTCGGAAACCATCTCCTGCACCTGATCTCTCTCTAGTCTTGTCAGTTTACCGTTCTATTCGATTATGAGACCGAGGGAATAGAGAGTGCACCTGACGATTTACGAAAAATGCATATACTCAACTTCAGTTACACAAACCACAAACCGTTTCTGATGTTGACTAATTATTATTATCTTATATGCCATTTTATTTGTTGATAGAACATAATATGTTTCAACCTTATGCGGGTGGTAGCTGGAGGGAGAAGACTTTCGAGGCTGTGGCCAAAAGCCGCTCAACGTGGAACTTCATTCCCTAGAGATGAGCGGTAATTTCATGACAAGTTCTGAGGCTAGACGCCGTGCTAATAACACAATTAGTGGTGATGCCTTACACTTATATCACGTCTGAAGGAGCGATGATCTGGCAGGTGGTGACGCTCACGGAGGGCTTTTTATGGCCAGTGTGCCTATAATTCATTCATTAAGCCATTAGCCTAATCCGTGTGAGTAACATTTACTGTAGATGGATTCGATTGTATTCTGTATGTCGTTTACACGCATTGACATGACTTCGGTCGATGTTTGTGCCATCACACTACCAAGAGACTAAGCCCTCATTTACTGGTTCGCTTACGGTCCATTTCCCAAATTAACGTCCCTCTTCGGGAGGAGTGCGTTAGTTGGTTGGCGCACACTGACATTTTTTTTAAATGTGGGAGAGCGAAGTCTCTGTATCGCGTAATTTTATATAAGCCTTTTCCAAGCGGGAAGGGATTAATTAATAAGGAATTGACTGAGTAAACCTGACACAAGTATAATAGGTATGATTTAATAATCTTAACCTTTAAAGCCCTTTCTTCTTGAACGGGTTTTGTAGCTAAAAATAATTATAAGGCACTACCAACGGCTTTCAATTGCTCTAGCGACTATTTTCATTTATTTTTTTATTTTTTTAAAAGCTAACTAAGCTTCTAAGACGAACTCGCCATAAATTTATTTAGTAGCCTATAACTAAACCTTTGGAAAGATCTTTGAGAAAATTCAATATATATTTTATTTATCTGGTTACGTAAGTTGTTATATTTTATAGACAACCATTTCTATACTATATATAGAAGGGGGCGGGAAGCGTTACGTTATGTACCGGTAAGCAAAGTGTAGAGCGGCCCCCCAGTAGATGAAGTGACGACCTGATAAGTGTAGTAGTTACACGTAATAGAGCCGCGCTGCAGCTCTATTATGGTTGTAGCATAAATGGGTTGGCTCGACCGGGGGAGGACCACGCTCCCAAAGACTACCAGCGTAAAATAGCACCTCAATGCTGCTGTGTTTCATACCGTAAACTCGTTTTACTGGAATCGAGGCTGGTGTCTATGGGATACAACATCCACTTACCATCAAATTAAGTGTGTGCTCATTTGTCACCCTTATCCTATAAAAAATACATGCAAAAAGACGATGGACGCAGTTTGCTCAGGACCGTGCTCTGTAGCGTTTCTTGGGGGAGACCAATGTTCAGTAGTCGACTGGTGAAATGGTGTAATGAATCAATAAATGTAATCACTGTGTCATGGTGAAGAGCGGGGAGGCTTAGTACCCGGGGCTAAATCATCCACGGTGAACGGGCTAGAGGTTAGATCTGTTACTCATAATGTCTATGAGTTTGAGATTTGTGACATTCGAATGGACAAAAAAACGTGGAGTGACATAAATAGGGCTCCAGTTTTTTTTTGGGTACGGTTCAATAAAATATGAAAGCGGATACAAGGGCGGGGTCGTCTACTCCTAACTTTTTGACTAACAGTAGAACTAGACCTTTTCTGCTCTTCTGTTCAGCGAGAAGTTTGGCGAATGAATCTAGGGAAGAGTGCAAGTCATGATGATCCCCAGGACAAGTCTGAGGAGTTCTTGCTGCACGTGGTTGTCGCTTGTTATTTGGTCTGGTTTAATAGGTAACAGACAGAACAGAAATACTCAGACAATGTTCTTCTTCTTTTCTTTTATCCCATCCCTTTTCTCCTATCCTAATCCTATCCTCTCGTCTGGAGGGAGTTCAGTCGCAAAAGGTGCCTACCCGAGACCAGAGCGATTCTGGTAGTATTTTAGCACTTCTCTCGGCACGCAGGGCTCTGATGGTGGTGACAAATATTTTCCTAGTTAATCTTGGGACCAAAATGGACGAAAATTGACATTTTGCAAACAATAATGAAAAATCTCCTCTAATGGAACTATTTGTAGGTAGGTTTGAAAGAGGCTCTTTTAGCCTCACCAATAGCTTGCAATACTACGCCCCAACCTGGGACGAGCTGTAAGGTGGAGGGAACGTCTGCAGTCGAACCACAATCGGAAACGAACCAGGGATGGGAAAAGAAAAAGTTCGCTAGGCATTATAAGCTTAGTGGAGCAGCAAGAAAGAGGTACCAAAAGCCGATAGCAGCTGAGATAGGAGCCGAAGAGGCCCTATCTCTCTGCCAGAAATCCTGGGACGAAGTTCCTCTGCCCAAACCTTCCCTATTTCCGAAGGCAAAAAATTGCAGTCGGCCTGAGGAAGAGGCCCCCAAAGACTAGTCCAGGAACTCTGTAAAGCTGGCAACGGGGGAGATTAAGCTCAGCTTCAATGTCGTAGCTGGCTTCGCACGTGTAGGAATTTTCTATTCGAATCCTTTGAGTGAGAAGCAGATGCAGCTGCTCTGTCGGGTTCTAACACAGGCCATCGCTATGACGGCCTGTAGAGCGCAGCCGGGAACGGGACCAAAATTTTCGGGTTTCACTCTCAAGTCAGGTTGGATTCTGGTAACGTACCTGAAAAAGGCAAGCCAGGACTGGATTGTGGGTGGAATCGGAAAATTGAATCCCTGGCCGGAGGCAGAGCTCTAGATAATACCCGAAGGCGAACTGCCTTAGCCTCAGCTAGGCATTACGTATCTCCCCGCAGTGAAATTATTTTACAGAGGAGGTTGCTGTGCTGTTTTTTTTTACAATGGCTCGTAATGAAGAAAATACAAAATATTCCAAAAAAAATTTGATACATACTTGACTAAGGTAAGATATTATTTGATACATACTTGAATAAGGTGAGATTTATTATTGACAAAGGTAAGATATTATTATATTTATAATCACAGATTTTCATTACAATATATTATTTCGCTAAAAGTGCGTAGCATTTATATAAGAATTTACTTTATGGAGTGACTTGATTTTTGATTTACTTTGGTGAATGCAACATTAAAATACTGAACAACTTTTTGAAAACGCAACAATTCCCCATTCGTTGATGAGAAAAAAATTATTAACGAGTCAGGTAAAAAGACTAGTATTTACAACATTGCTTGAGTACAAAAACCTAAAAATTAAAGTCGATTTCTGATCGTTTTCAGATAATTCTGTTAAAAGTTTTTTTGAATTAACAATAATAAAGATGATTTAGATTCACAATAATAATAACATAGTAAAAT